CAAAAAGTGTAATAAAAATACAAAGGCCTACTTTTCAAACTTATCCGAAAAACTAAATGTTTGTATTTTTATTACAGTTTTGAACAAAAGTTAACGTAAAGTGTGAAAACATCTCAAGATGTTCGAGATACTTTTCTCTTCAATTTAAGATGTTGCAGAGCTCTGGAGCTGTTTTGTTTCGAAGACTATAAAAGAAATAAAATGCAAAAATACGTTACGGATGAACACTGCGACAGCAGAGTTACTTAGCCAAGCTGAAGAGCAAAAATTTTACTTTTCAAAATATGCACGCATACTCAACATGCGCACGCACTCGCACACACAAAATGCGAGCAGAATGACTTTGTTTGTAACTTTATACCAATCAAAATGCCATCACTATTTTCTAACCTATAAAGTAGGTATAGGTTAGAAAATAGTGATGTCATTTTGATTGGTATAAAGTTACAAATAGGTCCTTTTCGGACCTTGATCTGTGGAAAACTGAATGCTTCGGAGTGTTAGGTAACAATGAGGGCCGACGACTAGAATTTATTGAGGTATTCAAACAAACTCATATTCTAGCACTATTTTTGGTTGTATTACAAAATATTACACGACAATAGTTCTGCAAACTGAGCACTATGAAAATTTTATTAGTTAGTATTTACTTTCCTTCAACAATTTTATGTAACCTTGAATTGCTTTTATATGTAAGTTTTAATGTTTAAGCTTTTAAGTTGCTTAATGTTTATAATTTATGTATGTAGTTATACATAAAGCAATACAAGGTTACATAAAGTAGTTGAAGGAAAGTAAATACTAAATAATCATATAAAATATTTATATCTTTTCTTCTTAAAAGAAAGATATAAACAAAAACGTTGTTTTAAGGACTCCCCTTTTAAGCAAAAAAACTTTTTTGTTCTACTATCGATTTCAGCAAAAGTTACGTATGTTAATTGATATATCTCAGTGACGTAGTAAATACCCTGAAAGGATTCGTGCGCATGACTCCTGAAGACTCGGTTCTCTGGAAAACCAGTTTTTCAGGAACTCAAAAAGATAACCAAAACCCTTTTTAATAAGCCACAATCATAGCCCGCAAATTTCCAATTAAAATGAGACATCTCCTAGCTCTACATGACCTTTCTTTGCAAAGTTATAGAATTTACAAGAAGAGTCCGAAATGTTCATTGTCAGCTCAAAGCTATACAGAAATAAGAAGAAGTTAATTTAGGACTTTTATTGTGAATTCTAGAATTTTGCAAAGAAAGGTCATGTAGAGCTGAGAGATGCCTCATTTTAATCATAAATTTGCGGGCTACAATCATGTTTCGTCAAGAAAGGTTTTAATTATTTTTTAGAGTTTCTAAAAAACTAATTTTACAGAAAACCGGGTCTTCAGGAGTCATACGCCCGAATTTATTTAGACTATTTACTACCTCAGTCAGGTCTATCGACCCATGTACAGATCATTGGACTCGGAAGCGGATACCTCAGAGCATTCCCTCGTAAGACTTTCGTTGAGAAAGAGTATGAAGGTGCAGGTGGTTTCAAATGGAAGTAGACACTTAGATATAAAAATTCAGAGAATGAATTTTTGAATTTCGCTTTCGTTCATTTCTTTGCGCAAACTTCAGATCAAAACTGTGAAAAATTCCAGAAATCCGAGATAGGATTTTTCAGCGTTTCCTGGAATAAGAAGCGAAATTCATCCAACTGAACAATAAACTCAATTTCTGTTTTTTTAGAAAATCATCGATTCTAAGGGAGCTCTTAAACGATAGAACTATCTTTAATTTAGATCACAAAAAGAAAAGGATGTCTGAAACACCTAGAGTGGAATGGAGCAGCAGGATGATTGGAATAAAATCTCATCGGTGTAAAGTTTATAGGAAAGATGCTATACCCGAAAAACAAAACGATAAATGTGGCTGTCAGCGATTGATACGTTCACATAGTTATGAAGGTATACCACCTGGAACAAAACCAACAAAAGAAGAATGGAATGTCAATGATCATACTGAACAAATTCCACCAATTTATGGAGAATTGGCAAGCAATAAAGGAAAGGTATGGTTTTCTAAATAAAATGGAATTTTCAACTTTACAGCGTTATTTGAAAATATTTGCCTCGTTTGTACCACTCATTCTAGTGGAAGTTCCGATTCAAGTTGAGGGACGCTTTCTTCAAAAAGAGCTATCCTTGACTTTCCTACAATGTCTATGGGCAAAAAGTGCCTAACTATTATAAAAATAAAACATGGGACAAGGCTGATTGTCTATGATGGGTTAACTCAACTGTTAACGAGGTTTTTCAAATAATGTTTCGATAATTTTTAAATTACAAGAATGATTGAAAAAAATTTTTTCACTGCTAAAATTACACTTCGCAAAAGTTGTGCTGTATGCTTGATGTTGAAAGTTGGATTCAGCTATAAGAGGTTGATAATAGAATTCAGCTTTTTAAATCCAGATGTCATAGTACTGTTATGTGACGTTTTCATCCGCATCTCCCGCTTACGATCGTAATGTAATACTTGTTTCTCCAGGATATAACATCCTTATAGGGCTCGCGTAACTAGATTTTCAACATAATGTGAGATGTCCAAAGTTCATAAACAGTAGCAATCTGTTCGTTCTTCTCAATCTTGGTTAATATTAGTATGTCTGATACTGTTGAACATAGCACCCGATCAATACGAAAAACTTTTATTTAAAAATTAGTAGATTATGATAGAATTTATGATTATATAAGATATATAAGAGAGAAAGTCGTGAATATATCAATTAAAAATGCCTAAAAACTGGTTCATAGCACAATCAAAAAACAAATAAAGTTTTCGGCTTTTTTAGAGTGTGACAAGCTTTTCTAACTTAATCGGTGCTAAAAGTGCTTGGGCACAAATATGTGACTATTTCCACTACGGATAGCGTTATATACATTCTTTCCTTTTCCATTTCTTATTCTCATATATGAGATGTAAAGAATGAGAGCTCTCGTCATCGTGAAGAGTACGGTTCAAACTGCATTCTTTTTGTAATAATTCAAAAAATATCTTTAACAATTTATAGTAATTCATTATACATGTGAGAAGTAATTTGTGAATTTTATTCAGCGTGATTAGTTTAAGACTGCAGACAAAAAAAGCAGTTAGTAATTATTGCTCAAAATCTACTCGATTTTGGCTTTGTTTTCAAATAGTTTGTTCATTGTGAATGTGAAAATTCTGACAATATCAAAATACTATACGACTTAATTCGTCAAGATGTTACGGATATTGATAATCCTAAATCCGGTCCAGATTTAATTATAAGTGTGTTTGGAGGAGCAAAATATTTTACAATGAACGATGATTTGGAAAAAGAATTTATGACAAGCTTAGCTGAAGCTGCAAAAACAAAAGGTAAAACATTTTATATCTGTAAGTCAAAAATAAACGATTAAATGGATCGATAGGGATTTGGGTTTTGACATCTGGCTGTAACCATGGTGCTTCGAAATTAATTGGCGAAGGTATAGCACCACAGCAAGCATTAACTGGTGACACAGAACCGATGGATACTGTCTTAATTGGAATGGCTTGGTGGGGTGCATCATCAGAAAAAACCCGAGCAACACTAATTGAAACCGTAAATAATTTAGTAACTATTTACTATAATTAAATAGTAAATCTATAGTAACGATTGTTTAGGCGAATCGTTGTAATGCGAACAAGTTTCATCGACCTAGTTTACCATCTGATGTATCGTATGATGATGATCTTGACGCATTAGAACCAAATCATCCCAAGCAAATATCACCTATGGGAAAAATCTAGATACATTTCGTCTGTAATCGGGCGATACACGACTAGTTGCCATCTAGATTACTAGTTGGAAAAGGGACTTTTAACTAGATGCGTCTGCAGGTG